AGAACTGTAACACAACTTTCCCAATTTCATTATAAATGCCAGTTCCTAATAGGTTCTGCCATAAATATTAGGGCTGGGCGGTTTTGTTTCGTTAATTCGTAATTCGTTAAAAATTCGTTAATTTTTTGTTAACGAAGCGATAACAAACCATTCTGGAGCAACTTAAAAATGAAACGAATTTTTCAATTCGTTTCGTAAATGCTTCGTATTTCGTTATGTATTCGTTTCATTATTGGTTTGAGGTCGTTTCGTTATTATTTCCGCATGTCTGGGGCAAGTTTTATAGTTGTTTTTTGTTTAATTAGTGAAAAAAAATTATAATATCACACCAACAGTCAACAACCGAGGGAGAGGGAAGCTTCAGAAGTTTTTTTAGCGTATTGTGCGATCGCGGCCGCCATTAACGAATCGATTCGTTATTGTTTCGTTATTGTTTTGTAATTTTTTTCACATTTACGAAATTTCGTAAATATCGAACTTTTTTAAAAGGAAAATTTTGTAATTATTTTAAATAACGAAACGCAAAAAACCCCAAAAAACGAATCGATTTTAGAAACAAATTTTTCCGTTGTTACCCAGGCCTAATAAATATCACCAATAATGAAATAATAATGAAATTTTGAAAGTTTTGTTAGAGTTCTGAAATGTTGACCACCAGAACTTTAGCAACACTGTAGAAGCAAAGCACCAGCGCTCCCTAGTTTTGACTACCAGAACTTTCTGGTGGTGAAACTTTCAGAACTCTAACACATCTTTCCGAATTTCATTATAAATGGCAGTTCCTAATAGGTTCTGTCATAAATATCACCAATAATGAAATAATAATGAAATTGTGAAAGTTTTGTTAGAGTTCTGAAATTTTCACCACCAGAACTTTAGCAACACTGTAGAAGCAAAACACCAGCGCCCCCTAGTTTTGGCAACCAGAACTTTCTGGTTGTCAAACTTTCAGAACTCTAACACAACTTTCATAATCTCATTATAAATGGCAGTTCCTAATAGGTTCTGTCATAAATATCACCAATAATGAAATAATAATGAAATTGTGAAAGTTTTGTTAGAGTTCTGAAATTTTCACCACCAGAAGTTTAGTAGAAGCAAAGCACCAGCGCCCCCTAGTTTTGACAACCAGAACTTTAGTTTTGTAAGTACTTTAGAACCATTTAGAACAGCGGTTCTCAACCTGGGGGTCGCGACCACCAAGGGGGTCATTTGGCCATTTTGGAGGGGTCAAGAGGCTGCCTCCTTTGGCCCCACCCCAAGTCTTTGGCCCACCCCCAAAGCTTTGCACAAGGCCAGGCCTAGCGTGAAGGAGTCCTCACCTGCCTTGCACTCTCGCTGGCCAGCAAGGGCTCATTCGTGTGAGGCCTGATCTTTGCACTCGCCTACTTTGCACTCTCGAAAATAATTTTATGGTTGAGGGTCACCACAACATGACGAACCATATTTAGAGGTCACAGTGTTAGAAAGGTTGAGAACCACTGATTTAGGACCATGGATTGCACATGCCTATTGTCTAGCTCTGCGTCGGACGGGTAACAGTAAGAGATTCCGTACTACCCAACGTATTCGTTTATCTGACATTCCGCCGGCTCATTTATGTCAGATAAGTGAGACTCTACTCTCTGTGTGTGGAAATGTTCTGTATTAGGGACACTATTTTATGATGGCTTTGTTTATAAAACATCAGGCGTTTACTGGTAACCAATCAGCATCTGCAAGGCTTGCAAAATACACTGATTTTTCTTTTTTATGGAGTACAGCTAAAGCATCTACTGTGGATGCCACTGTAAACACTGTACAAGAGGAATCATGTAATGCCCAAAACAGCCTCTAGATGGCAATCGGAAAACCCGTTCCTATCTCACTACCTCTGAGGATGCTTGGCATAGATGCAGGTGAAACGTCAGGAGAGAATGCCTCTAGAATATGGCCATATAGCCCGAAAAAACCTACAACAACCCAACCCTTTCCTACTTGTATTGTCAAAGGCTTTCATGGCCGGAATCATTGGGTCTAGAGGCGTTCTCTCCTGATGTTTCACCTGCATCTATGGCAAGAATCCTCAGAGGTAGTGAGGTAGTGAGGTGGCCATATAGCCCGAAAAAACCTACAACAACCCAACCCTTTTCTACTTTCTTCAAACTACAAGAAAGGAGATTCCATCTGAACATTAGGAAGAACTTTCTGACTGTTAGAGCCGTTCAGCAGTGGAACTCTCTGCACCAGAGTGTGGTGGAGGCTCCTTCTTTGGAAGCTTTTAAACAGAGGCTGGATGGCCATCTGTCAGGGGTGCTTTGAATGCAATATTCCTGCTTCTTGGCAGAATGGGGTTGGACTGGATGGCCCATGAGGTCTCTTCCAACTCTATGATTCTATGAATTTATGATTCTATGAATATAAAATAAAGATAAACATCAGACATTTACTGGTAACCAATCAGCATCTACAAAGCTTGCAAAATACACTGATTTTTCTTTTTATGGAGTACAGCTAAAGCATTTTCTGTGGACGCCACTGTAAACACTTTACAAGTGGAATCATGTAATGCCCAAAACAGCCACTAGGTGGCAATCATAAAACCCTTTCCTACTTTCTTCAAACTACAAGAAAGGAGATTCCATCTGAACATTAGGAAGAACTTCCTGACTGTGAGAGCCGTTCAGCAGTGGAACTCTCTGCCCCGGAGTGTGGTGGAGGCTCCTTCTTTGGAAGCTTTTAAATAGAGGCTGGATGGCCATCTGTCAGGGGTGCTTTGAATGCAATATTCCTGCTTCTTGGCAGAATGGGGTTGGACTGGATGGCCCATCAGGTCTCTTTCAACTCTTTGATTCTACTTTCAACTCTTTCTATGATTCTATGGTAACCAATCAGCATCTACAAGGCATGTAAAATACACAGATTTTTCTTTTTTATGGAGTACAGCTAAAGCATCTACTGTGGACGCCACTGTAAACACTGTACAAGAGGAATCATGTAATGCCCAAAACAGCCACTATTTGTGTCTTAATATTTGCACTAAAATGTGCAAGAACGGAAAACGGAATGTTGTTGGGCTGGAAAAGAGATTGAAAGATGGGCTCAAAGCCAACCTTAAAAACTCCGGCATAGACACTGAGAACTGGGAATCCCTGGCCCTTGAGCGCTCCAGCTGGAGGTCAGCTGTGACCAGCAGTGCTGCAGAATTTGAAGAGGCACGAATGGAGGGCGAAAGAGAGAAAAGTACCAAGAGGAAGGAACATCAAGCCAACCCCAACCAGGACTGCCTTCCACCTGGAAACCGATGCCCGCACTGCGGGAGAATATGCAGGCCAAGAATAGGGCTCCACAGTCACCTACGGACCCACCAGTACACTGATCTTGGAAGATTATCCTACTGGGACAATGAGGGATTGCCTAATTAACTAACCAACCCACAATTCGAGAGGATATTGACTCTAAGATGGAAGGGGTAGTTTGGGAAAACTACCCAAAAAAGCCAGAATATCCAAAAACACAAACAGAATACTTATAGTAGAGCATTCAGCTCACAGCAAGCAGAGTTGTGCAGTGGAAGTGTGCTGGGCCCATAACCCTTTTTGTTACGGAAAACTACCCAAAATAGCAGAGCATCCAAAAACATCCTAACCAATCAGAATGAGAGCAGAAACAGAGAGAAGAGAACAATTAGCTGCCTTTCAACTGTCGTTCAGGAGTCGGGGGGAAGGGATTCCCTCAGCCTATTTTAAAGCTAACTAACTGTTCCTCACTGAGGACTGCAGACTTGAGCATTGTGTAGAGAAGGGCAACTAAAAGTTTGGATACCATGACTCACTCCGAGGAACAGCTTAGGGAGCTTGATCTGCAGAAAAGAAGGTTGAGAGGAGACATGAGAGCCATATCCAAAAATGTTAATGTGTTTTGAAATATATAATGTAGATTTCAAAGTATGTTTGTATGTTTAAACAATGCAATGCAACGTGCCAAGTGTAAATTCCTGTGTGGAAAGAGTTAACTGAACCATGAAGAGAATCGGCATTCCTAGAGATGTCATAAATCTTAGTGCAGAGAGCAATGGATGCAGTGTAGTGTGTCGTACATCATAAGTCGCTCTGGAATGCAGGAGGTGTGAACTGCTACTGATAACAGCGTGTTCTGTGTTCGCGATGTAGCTGCCGAATGGAACTACATCGCTTAGCTTCTAATGTAAATAGTTGAACAATAAATTAGTTTATAGCCTAAAGGAGACTGTGATCAATGTGTTTCCTTGCCTTGCTGTGCTGTGAGGAGATTTCACTAACAATTGGTTATGGGCCCAGCACGCTTCTGCTGCACAGTCACTCACTCATAAGGAAGAGGAAGCAAGGCTTGCATTCTACAGCCCTTGAAACTAAGACCAATGAAGTCATGGGTTCCAATGACAAAGGAAAGGAGATTCCACCTGAACGTTAAGAAGAACTTCCCGGCCATAAGAGCTGTTCAACTGTGGAGCTCACCACCTCAGATACACCCTGAAAAATATAGCTTGGTGAGGATTTCTAGCATGGTTTGAGCAAACTAGACTTATCAGGGTGCTTTTGAGAGAGCCCAGATAATTACATGGGAGCAATACAGTTTGAAGTTGGTTGTATAACTATACCCATATGAGAAGTAGCAAAGAGATGGGCTAGCTGAGGAAGGAAGAGGGAGAAGGGATAGTGTTAGTTCACAATGCACAGTCTTCAGTCTGTTGTCTTGGTTTAATGACAACAGTGATTCCGGCCATGAAAGCCTTCGACAACTTCTTCCATGTTCTTATGATAGTACCAATTAGGAAATGACACTGATAACCCAGAAACAAAAACCGTGTTGTATAGTATAATCATAATTGTGTTATCAAAGAGTTCCAGGGTCAGAGAAGCAGATGGCAAATACAGAAGAATGGCCTACCTCAGGGGAGCATGCTTGCGCCATCAATGTTTAACATTTACACAAATGATCAGCTCCTGCTGGAAGGGACAGACAGATTCATCTATGCTGACGATCATGCCATCACCACTCAAGCAGAGAGCTTTGAGATGGTTGAACAGAAGTTCACCAAAGCTTGCTCCATCAATGTTCAACATTTACACAAATGACCAGCCACTGCCAGAAGGGACAGAGAGTTTCATCTATGCTGACGATCGTGCCATCACCACTCCAACAGGGAGCTTTGAGATGATTGAAGAGAAGCTCTTTAAAGCTTGCTCCATCAATGTTTAACATTTACACAAATGACCAGCCACTGCCAGAAGGGACAGAGAGTTTCATCTATGCTGACGATTGTGCCATCTCCACTCAAACAGGGAGCTTTGAGATGGTTGAAAAGAAGCTCTCTAAAGCTTGCTCCATCAATGTTTAACATTTACACAAATGACCAGCCACTGCCAGAAGGAGCAGAGAGTTTCATCTATGCTGATGATTGTGCCATCACCACTCAAGCAGAGAGCTTTGAAATGGTTGAACAGAAGCTCTCCAAAGCTTTATGTGCTCTTACTGAAAACACTGGCACTGAGGAGGATCAGAACCAAAAAGTCTAATTAAAGCAGAAATCAATAACAAAAGCGAATCTCTCAAACACTTCCGGTTATTATTTGCATCAATTTGACCTTCAAAATCTAAGTTTTAGAATCGGGAGGAAAAATTTACCCCTCGTATTTGAATAAGGTATGTTGTAAGTTGTTCGGACACTGGACCTCTGGATTAACATTGCTGGTACTTAATGGTTCCAGTGGAAATATCCTTCCTATGAGATGCCAACAGCCCATAGCAGGAAGGGAATTGTGGCGGAAATTTTCAACGTTGGCTTTGGATCTTCCAGCCTTGGACACATCAGCCTTAATTCCCAGATATCTGCTAACACTAACATTCAAGGCATTCAGATGTGGAAGCTCTTTGTCAAGCAAAACACTGGAGAAAAGCAATAAGGGTTCTTCGAAAGTAAGACTTGTGATTCTTTCTGGATTGGGTCTGAAATGGGTTTGCTCCTCTCTCTTTGTCTTTCTCCACGGATTGGAAACAGATCCTTGTGGACATTCGGATGCCCGCCATCCTTGCGGGCAACAATTCTCCTATCAAGGAAGGACAGAGAAATATCATGGATTGTGTCTGTCTTAAAAAATATACATAATTTTTCATTCAACAACCACAAGAGAAGTGGTTGACCTCAATGATGACGGTCCTCTGCTTAAGAGGATGATGTTTTCACTAAAAGTGAGAACACTTGAAGGCAGATGACCTTGGGGTTGTAGGGGTTGCAGGTAAGGGTTACAGTGCTCTGCTTAAGCATATGACGTTTTCACTAAAAGTAGTAAAACTTGAAGGTTGTAGGGGTTACAGATAGAGAGGTATTCTTTCAAAAAGAAAGGAAGAAAGAACATTAGATTGGAGTGATTTGGTCAACATGTTCGGAGATGGTTGCTCGCGGAACGGGTTGGGTCAACACATTTGGAGAATGGTTTGCAGCATGGGTTGGATCAATATGTTCGGAGAATGGTTCGCGGCACAGGTTGGGTCAACACGTTCAGAGAATGGTTCGTGGTACAGGTTGGGTCAACACGTTCGGAGAATGGTTTGCGGCACGGGTTGGGTCAACATGTTCAGAGAATGGTTCGCGGCACAGGTTGGGTCAATACGTTTGGAGAATGGTTCGCAGCACAGGTTGGGTCAATATGCTTGGAGAATGGTTCGCGGCACAGGTTGGGTCAATATGTTCAGAGAATGGTTTGCGGCACGGGTTGGGTCAACGTGTTCGGAGAATGGTTTGCGGCACAGGTTGGGTCAATATGCTTGGAGAATGGTTCGCGGCACAGGTTGGGTCAATATGTTTGGAGAATGGTTCGCGGCACAGGTTGGGTCAATACGTTCGGAGAATAGTTCACGGCACAGGTTGGGTCAATATGTTCGGAGACTGGTTCGCGGCACAGGTTGGGTCAACACGTTCGGAGAATGGTTGCTCGCGGCATGAGTTCACACTCTAAACACCCACGGACCGGAATTTGACACTTGTTTCAAAAGGAAGGGAAAACAAAGCAGTCGGAAGTCAAACAGTGTTCGCAATCTCAGTGGAGCTCCAGTGACTTGATTAGAATGAGAGCGGGCTGAGAAAGTCTTCTCCTCCGCAGAACGTGATAATGAGGATCAATCAAAGGACTTCAAGGTTTCTTAAGTTTACAATAAGTAGGTTCTTGCTGGCTCAGAGAGAGGGGACAGTCTATTTTTTCATTTGCAGATCCCAAAAGCAAACCCACTCCCGGCATGTGCTATGCATCATCAGAGATGGCAGGATTGTGGGGCTGCTGGGGGTGGTGGTGGTGTCCCTTCGGACCCAATGGGAGATGGATCATCGGTGGCGGGTTTCTCCTCCCAGGCCCAGGGGCCTTTTCCGATCAGTCTTCCTCTGGCCAGGATTTCGGAGAGGCCCCGCGTGGCACCTGGGATCGTTTCTGGCCAGGTGCCCCCCTCGAATCCCTCAGAGATGGCCGATGGAGCTGAAGCCTCCTGGCTCTGAAGCTGCCCCTGCCATGCTCAACCAAGCATCCAGAGAATTCTGGGAAGAGGGATGGAGTGGCGTGTTCTCGGAAAGGGACAACATCATTGCATAAGCCTAGGACGGAAGAAGAAAACACAGTAAGGGGAATAACACATGCTGACCTGATCAGAGGCGGCCCTAGGTAATTTTCAACAGTAAGCAAACAGTATTTTGCCCCCCCCCCCCAAACCAATCACTGATATATATTTTCTGTTCGTCATGGGAGTTCTGTGTGCCATATTTGGTTAAATTCCATCATTGGTGGAGTTCAGGATGCTCTTTGATTGTAGGTGAACTATACATCCCAGTAACTACAACTCGCATATGTCAAGGTCTATTTTCCCCCAAGAGCGCCTCAAGAGCACCCCTGGGCAAAATCAACTATACGGCAAAGGCTTACTTTGCGTAATGGTTGAGCCGTCCCTGGACCTGATCCTCAGACACCTGCAAGAAGCCCAAGATGGAATGCCACCACTTGCATTTCAAGTGGTGCACCACCCATTTAATGGTGAGGAAGTACGATTAGGACCCTTCTACACTACTATACAATCCAGATTGTGTGTGTGTGTGTCAGGAGCGGAAACTGTAAGCCACTTCTGGTGTGAAAGAATTGGCTGTCTGCAAGGACATTGCCTAGGGGACACACGGATGTTTGATGTTTTACCATCCTTATGGGAGTCTTTTCTCATATCCCTGCATGGGGAGCTGGAGCTGACAGAGGGAGCTCAACCTGCTCTCCCCGGATTCGAACTGCTGACAAAGAAGCCCAAGATGGAATGCCACCACTTTCATTTCAAGTGAGGATTTTGTGGTGCACCACCCATTTAATGGTGAGGAAGTACGATTAGGCCCCTTCTACTCTACTATATAATCCAGATTATTTTTTTTGGGTGTGTGTGTCAGGAGCGGAAACTGTAAGCCACTTCTGGTGTGAGAGAATTGGCCCTTTGCAAGGACATTGCCCAGGGGACACACGGATGTTTGATGTTTTACCATCCTTATGGGAGTCTTCTCTCATATCCCTGCATGGGGAGCTGGAGCTGACAGAGGGAGCTCAACCTGCTCTCCCCGGATTCAAACTGCTGACCTGTTGGTTAGCAGTCCTGCCGGCAAAAGAGTTTAGCCCAGGGGTCCTCAAACTTTTTAAAAAATGGTACCTCCTTTCCCCTATCAGCTTTAGTTTTTGCAATACGGAACATAATATCAGTATTATATATTACTATATTGCTCTATACCATTATATTGTAATGTTATTAGTAATATTACATGTAATATAAATATATACTTATAATTATAATATTGTATTATTATTACGAGGATTATATTGTATTACATTATAATATTATATTACATTATAATATTGTATTGTTATTACTAGCATTATACTGTATTACATTATAATATTATAAATATTATATATATATATATATACAATATACTATATTACAGTGGTTCTCAACCTTTCTAATGCCGTGACCCCTAAATACAGTTCCTCATGTTGTGGTGACCATAAAATTATTTTTGTTGCTATTTCATAACTGTAATTTTGCTACTGCTATGAATTGTCATGTAAATATCCAATATGCAGGATGTCATAAATTTCATTGTCATAAATTGAACATAATTAACGCATAATGATTAATCACAAAAACAATATGTTTGGGGGAGTATGGACAACAGATGATCGTATTTGCAGTACCTTCGACCAATTCAGCTCTGACCCCTTGCCGGCCTCGCGACCCCTCCGAAATGACCAGGCGACCCCCTTGGGGGCCGCGACCCCCAGGTTGAGAACCGCTGCTATATTATATTATTAGTAAATTATATTATATGGCAGTGTAGATCCAGCCTGAATAGCACAAAAGATACTGGGAGTCAAATAGGCAGTCCGAGGGCCCTTCTACACTGCCATATAATCCAGAATAGTAAGGGAGATAATCCACATTATCTGCTTTGAACTGGATTATCTGAGTCTACACTGACACGTAGCAGATAATCTGGATTTTATACAGCTGTGTAGAAGGAATATATGAAAGAAAATATTGCCCCCCCCCAGCTGAAAAATTATTTCCAGGGTTCGTAAACAACATCCCCCAAAGTGGGTTGTTGTAGGTTTTTTCGGGCTATATGGCCATGTTCTAAAGGCATTTTCTCCTGACGTTTCACCTGCATCTATGGCAAGCATCCTCAGAGGTAGTGAGGTCTGTTGGTCATTGTCCCACTGAAAGTAGCTATGAACAGAAAGATGGAGTAGCTATGGGGAGCCCCCTCAGCCCGGACCATAGCTAATTTCTACATGGAACACTTTGAAAAACAAGCCCTGGAAACAGCAACCAAAAAGCCCACGATATGGTTCAGATATGTGGATGACACCTTCACCATTTGGAGCCATGGAGAAGAAGAACTCAACAAGTTCCTGGACCATCTTAACAGCATCCACCCAAACATCCAGTTCACCATGGAAAAAGAAAATGAAGGAAGACTGCCTTTTCTAGATCAACAATTGGGTCACACCGTTTACAGAAAACCCACACACACAGATAGATATCTACATAAAAACTCCAACCATCACCCAAGTCAAAAAAGAAGCACCATTAAAGCCTTGGCAGACCATGCAAAAAGAATCTGCGAAGCCCACCTCCTCCAAGATGGACTGAACCACCTCAACTGGGCTCTCCAGGCCAATGGAGACTCCACCTCAGACATCAGAAGAGCTGCAAGACCAAGAACAAGCCACGAGAGTCAAGATGAAGATCCACCCAGAGGAAAAGTGTTCCTGCCATACATCAAGGGAACCACTGACCGCAGAGGGAAGCTGATGAGGAAACACAACATACAAACCATCTACAAACCCACCAAGAAAATCCAACAAATGCTACGTTCAGCAAAGGACAAGAGGGATCCTCTCACCTCTGCAGGAGTCTACCGTGTACCATGCAGCTGTGGACAAGTCTACAGAGGGACCACCAAACGCAGCATTGCCCAGACACGCATCAAGGAACATGAAAGGCACTGCAGACTACTTCAACCAGAGAAGTCAGCCATAGCAGAGCACCTGAGGAACCAACCTGGGCACAGCATATTATTTGAGGACAACTACCATGTCAGACTACACAGAGAAGCCACTGAAATCCACAAGCATGTGGACAATTTCAACAGAAAGGAGGAAACCTTGAAAATGAACAAGAGCTGGCTACCAGTATTAAAAAACTCTAAAATTAGAACAGCACAAGAACAGAGAGGAAACAAACAAGGACATCTAATCACCTCTCAACAAAAGATTGCTCCAGGCACTGCCAGGCAATCAAATGCTAATCAAGGTGATCAGTTGAAACATTCACACCTAGCTCCAGAAGACAAGAGTCCTTTGTCCCACCCTGGTCATTCCACAGATATATAAACCCTTTTTCCTAGTTCCAATAGACCTCACTACCTCTGAGGATGCTTGCCATAGATGCAGGCGAAACGTCAGGAGAAAATGCCTTTAGAACATGGCCATATAGCCTGAAAAAACCTACAACAACCCAGTGATTCCGGCCATTAAAGCCTTCGACAATACATCCCCCAAAGTATTTATCAAACATGACGCCTGACATTGCAGGGGAAAATAAAAGCGACAGACACACAACATCTATAAATTAGTATAGTTCCAGCGTATTAGTAGAAAACGACAGAAGACAAGAGGCATGCATGGAGACAAGAAACGACCCCACTCTCTTTCTTTCCATCTCAAAGCTGGAAGAAGATGAGAGGCAATGTCCCCTCCCTGTTCCATGGAAACAGCTCACGTAGGCATCTTTGGCTTAATGTTGATGCATAGATAGATGTATAGATCTATATCACTATATATATATAAATATCAACCTATAGATATAGACTCTAAAGGATGTCATCTTTCCAAAACAATATCAGTATTATTGTTCCCTGAAGATGAGCTGGGAAAGTCTTCACAGGCTCCAGTTCCTATAGATCTATAGGTATTCAGACCTATACAAATATAGATCTAGATCTGGAGTTTAAATTGTGTCATTTGGAATTTAAAGGGTGTCATTTTTCCAAACATGTCTGTGTATATTTTTGTGCATATATTTGTGTATATGTGTATTTATGTGTGTTTGCATATACATATGTGGTTTTGAGCATGCGTTGTAATATATTTTTTGGTTTTTGGATTTCCAAGTCTCTTCTGCTGTGTTTTTCAGTGTTTTTATGAGTGATGGTCACTTGTTGGCCTGATAGGTGTATTGTGTCCAAATTTGGTGTCAATTCGTCCAGTGGTTTTTGAGTTTTTTAAGGGTTTTTGGGGGGGGTGAAAGGGGGGATGTGGAGCCCAAGTGGGAGAGTTGCTGGCCTTCTCATGGTTCACATCCTCCCTTCATCCAACCAGCTGCTCCTGCAGTCAGGCTTGCCTTGCAATCCTCTGGTCTTGGGGGAAGAGTTGCCTGGTAGCCACGTGGGCCTCATGGAGCCACTGCGGTGGCTCCAGCTGCTGCCGGGGCTTGCCTCGCCAAGCCCCCACCCCTCCGTTGGGCCAGGCCTTCTCCCTCCTTCCCTCTTTCCTTTCCTCAATCCTTCCCCTCCCCAAAAGGGAATGGACTCTGTCTTCCTGCATGGAAAGGGACTCCATGGCGAGGCTTCTCTTCCCTCACAACGGTTGGTGCTTCATTCTTCTCGCGCAATGGGGAGAGGGGCTTTTGCGCATGCTCTGTAAGGCATTTTTCTTTTTGGGGAGTTTTAAGTTATTTCCCCTTTATTTTTATGAGTTTTTTTGTTTGAAAGACATAGATCAGATTAGAATGTGTTTTGCTGCCAAATTTGGTGTCAATTCATCCAGTGGTTTTTGAGTTCCATTAATCCCACAAACGAACATTATATTTTTATTTATATAGATTTAGATCTAGATCTAGACTATAAATGGTGTAATCTTTCACAAAATTGTCAGTATTCCTGTTCGCTGAAGGTGAGTGATGAAAATTCCCATAGGCTTCGGTTCCTCACAATTCTTTCAATAGGGTTTGGCTGCCGAGAAATGGCAATTACCCAGGAATAAAACCTAATGTAAGCTTTAGTTTCTCTCTCTCTTCTCACCTCTTGAGCATATAGAGGAGGAAAAGCCAACCCATGGACCCCCACTGACCCATCCCCAATAACAAATATTTTGGGGCTGCTCGCTGCATCTGGCCTTCCCCATTCTTGAGATACCCAGCTCAGTGCCAAACTTACAGGGTCCCAATGAATACCTACCTGATTCTTAGCCTGCCTGTATAGGGTCTGTTTTATTGCCTCAGAGTCTAAGGTAGCATTATACACCTCTTTAACTTCAAAAGCTTCCTCGGAGGCCTTGCGGAGGTCCAGCCCCTTCCCAAAATGCGGCATCTGCTCCAAATCTAACAGGCCGGCTTCGTCCTCCTCAATACACCTGTACCAATGACCAGGAGGGGAGGGGAAGGGAGGGGGGACTTGTTAGCGCATCGGACGGTTCACAGTCGGGGACAGGCGAGCCCACGGCAAGCAAGCATGCACACAGAGCTGCCCAAAGCGAGGCATGCGACGGAGGGGCGAACAGGAGGGAGACACGGAACGACGGGACGACGAACAGAGACAGATGCTGCACAAAGGCACAAGGAACATACACAAGTTTGGGTTGCATTAATCTGGGTTAAGGAGGGCATTTACCAAAGCTCACTGCTGCTGGCATTCTTGATCCCATGTTTCATCCAAATAGAGAAGACTAAATGTAAGCAACACAAGGCCCATAGGCAGAATTTGGCCTGTCATGTCATTTCATGTGGGTGTTGTGGCTCAGTCTGAGTCTGAGACTGAACTGTCTGGGCCTTATGCTGGGCTTTCCGGGCCTGCTGGGCCTTCTGACCCTGACTTTCTGCAGGATGACGAGAAGGCTGATGGGTTACAGATTTCTGAACATGTTCCAGTTAGTGAGGCAGACGGGGTTGATAGCCTGTTCCCCAGAGAAAGGAATGTGCCTTTAGATAAATATAGTGAAACTCCACAACTGCAGGTGGAGACTCCTTTTGGTTCCCAGGGTGATCAGGCCCAGCTGGGCCAAGATAATGACTTGTCCAGCCTTGAAGATAATAGTGAATTAATGAGTAGATAGGATCGTTTACAATTAAGAGTTTGGAGAAGCACATGCCTTGTCAGCAAGCATGAAGCCAAAGGTCAACGCAATGCTTTCATGTCAGGGAAACTTATTTAATGATGTAGTCGACAGGCATTTTCTGTCAGTTCAATGTTGCTCTTTCCCTGTTAACTTCTGTGGAATTACCTTGGCTTTTGCAGAACGCTTCTGGCTTCTTTGAGACTTGGATTTTGATCCTGATTTTATCTGTCAACCATAGACTCTTGTTTGACCATTGCTAAGGAATTATGCTTCATGTTTCCGACAGAAACAGATAGCTCACTAGGGCTGTGCAAAGCTTTGGAGGTCCGTTTCGTAATTTGCAGATTTTTTATGAAGTGTTAATACAAATCTCCAAATTACTAATCAGAAAGCTACCCCTCCGAAGCATTACAAAATGAACAAGAACATTTCAGAGAGAAAGACTTCTCGTTTCAGGGTGTTTCAAGCTGGGATTTTTTGAAATAAATTTTAAAAATTCCTAAAAATCAGTAGATAAACAAATCTTTCTGAACCTTTGCAGGATTGATGCCCTGCTTATGTTGTCTCACTGTGCAGAAATTCAAGATCCCTCTTGTGTTTTTTAAATTATTTGTAAAAACTTTTAAAAATTCCTAAAAATCAGTAGATAAATGAATCTTTCTGAAACTTTGCGCGATTGACGCCCTGCTTATGTTGTCTCATTGTGCAGAAATTCAAGGAGATCCCTCTTAAATTATTTGTAAAAACTTTTAAAAATTCCTAAAAATCAGTAGATAAAGGAAACTTTCTGAAACTTTGCGGGATTGATGCCCTGCTTATGTTGTCTCATTGTGCAGAAATTCAAGATCCCTCTTGTGTTTTTAAAATTATTTGTAAAAACTTTTTAAAATTCCTAAAAATCAGTAGATAACGGGATTGATGCCCTGCTTATGTTGTCTTATTGTGCAGAAATTCAAGGAGATCCCTCTTGTGTTTATTTAATTACATGTAAAAACTTTTTTAAATTCCTAAAAATCAGTAGATAAATGAATCTTTCTGAAACTTTGTGGGATTGACGCCCTGCTTATGTTGTCTCATTGTGCAGAAATTCAAGGAGATCCCTCTTAAAATTTTTGTAAAAACTTTTTAAAATTCCTAAAAATCAGTAGATAAATGAAACGTTCTGAAACTTTGTGGGATTGACACCCTGCTTATGTTGACTCATTGTGCAGAAATTCAAGGAGATCCCTCTTGGGTTTTTTTAATTATTTGTAAAAACTTTTTAAAATCCCTAAAAATTAGTAGATAAACGAATCTTTCTGAAACTTTGCGCGATTGACGCCCTGCTTATGTTGTCTCATTGTGCAGAAATTCAAGGAGATCCCTCTTGTGTTTTTAAATTATTTGTAAATGACCGAAATGTTCTGAAACCTGACAGGCTACAATTTGTAAATATTACCTACAAGTGGGCCAAGTGTCATCCTGATAGGCATAAAAATGATGGAAAATGGGTCTCAAAATCTTCTCCATTGCTGCTAATGGAAGAAATCTTAACAAAACCATTACGAAGCTTCAGAGATTCAGATTACGAAATGATTATTTACGAAATGAAGCAGGGGCCATCCAAATCCCTGAAACGAATTACTAATCGGATTTCAGCCATTTTGCACACCTCCATGGTTTACTAAAAGTACCCAAATGCAAAATAAAGAAATAAATAACCCAAAATGTGCACAATTCTAGCAAGTGAAAGAATTGCAAATGCATGATTCATGGCCACCCCAGGACTCGCCGGAGATGAGGTAGGAGAAGCAGGCACTCTCTTGATAGGGTTTGTGCTACCCACCTTCGGGTGCGGTCAAAACTCATGGTAAGAGATGTGGCCTCCTCATCTTCCTCATCCTCATACCCTCCTTGCGGCTCGGTTGTCGGCGACCCCGTCTCATCCTGTGACTTCCCAGTCAGGCTGTCGTCATCTTCCTCTTCCAGTTCTTCCTCTTCCTCGTCCCCTTCTTCCACTTTGTCATTGGCCAGGCCATGGCATTGGGAGCTGCCATCAGCATTCTGGATTTCAGGCCTGCCAGGAGAGAACGAAAAGTAGATAAGAAGAACCTCCTGATAGTAAGACATGTTCAGCAGTGGAATATGCTTCCTAAGAGTCTAGTGGGTTCTTCTTCCCTGGAGATTTCTAAGCAGAGATTGGATGGCCTCTCTGACTGACAGAGAGGAAACAATCAGGGACAGCTAATCACCTTTCAACAAAAGATTGCCCCAGGCACTGCCAGGCCATCAAATGCTAATCAAGGTGGTCAGTTGAAACATTCACACCCAGCTCCAACAGACAAGAGTTCTTTGTTCCACCCTGGTCATTCTACAGATATATAAACCCAATTTTCCTAGTTCCAACAGATCTCACGACCTCTGAGGATGCTTGCCGTAGATGCAGGCGATACGTCAGGAGAGAATGCCTCTAGAACATGGCCATACAGCTCGAAAAAAACCTACAAAAACCCGGCTTTGATTGTGTCTTCTAGCATGGCAAAAGAAGAGGCATTTTGGGGTCTCTTCCAACTCTAGGATTATATGGATTCGTAGGGTTTGGTGAGCATGCTTGCTCCATCAATTAACGTTTAAACAAATGATCAGCCACTGCCAGAAGGAACAGAGAGTTTCATCTATGCTGATGACTGTGCCATCACTGCCCAAGAAGAACTTTGACCATTTTGGCCACCCTTCTCTGGGCACATTCTAGCTTGTCTCTGTCCTTCTTGAGTTGTGGTTGTTGGACTGGATGACCCTCGGAGTGGGTCAAAAAAATCAACAAGGGCTCCACACTGACCTGGAAATGCCCACATGCTCCATCTGCTTTGCGCATTAGAGGAGAATTGAAGGGGAAATTGCCCTCAACGAGCTGCAGAAATGGGCTGTTGAAGCCAGGTAAATATGAGCCTGAATAGCAGCACTCATTTCCAAAGTCGAAATGCTCGGCTGTCTACAGCCCAGTGCTGACAGCTTGCCGGGGGGAATGCTGATGATATCTTTGCCACAGGCCTTGGCTGCCGATTCCAGGAACAACATCATTCCAGACAGAAAATAAGCACTGACCCTCAAGGGCCATCCGTAAGGCCTTGATCGGTGTCTGACTTGGGCACCAGTCAGCGCCTGGAGTTCCCCGAACAAAAGGATACATGCTCGGCATGTGCAATCCACATAAACATGGTACAAAAGTACTTACAAAACTGGGGGTCACTGGTGCTTTGTTTCTAAAGTGTTTCTAAAGTATGCTTAGTGAAAAACCCGTTACTATAACGAGAGTAATGAAATTTTGTTACTATTTCATTACAGCAATTGCGACTGCACACAACTAAATTACTATATTTGGGGAAATTTTGGGTGCTCCTATATCCCTCATTGAGGAGATCAATAGGTACTAGGCTTGGGCGGTTTCGTTCGTTAATTTCGTAATTCGTTATTAATTCGTATTTAAATTAGCTTACGATCCAATATTGAGCCATGCAGGAATAGTGTGAGGAGTAAATTAGATTCGAAACAATTTTTCCAATTTATTTCGTAATTATTTCGTAATAATTATTTCATAATTATTTCGTAATTATTTCCACATGTCTGGTGCAAGTTTTATAGTTGTTGTTTGTTTTATCACACCAACAGTCAACAACAGAGGGAGAGGGAAGCTTCAGAAGTTCCCCCTGTCCCATTTGGAGGTTTTTTTTAGCATATTGCGCAATCGCGTCCACCATTAACGAATCGATTCGTAATTTTACGAAATTTCGTATATTTCAAAATTTTTAAAAGGAAAATTTCGGAATTATTTAAAAAAAAGAAACGCAAGGGCCCCTTAAAAACAAAACGAGTTTAGAACCAAATTTTTCCGTGGTTACCGACTCAAACAATGATGGATCTGGACCAAACTCTACACAAATACTCAATATGCCCAAATGTGAACACTGGTGGAGTTTGGGGAAAATAGAATCTTGACAATTGGGAGTTGTAGTTGCTGGGATTTATAGTTCACTTACAATCACAGAGCATTCTGAATCCCACCAATGATAGAATTGGATCAAACCTCCCACATAGAACCCCCATGTGGGCCACAGCAACACATGGCAGGGGACGGCTAGTCTATATAAATAAAAATGTAATGTGCATTTGTGGGATTAGCATAACTCAAAAACCACTGGACAAATTGACCTCAAATTTGGCAGCAAAACACATTCTAATCCAACCTATGTCTTTCAAACAAAAAACCCTTAAAAATGAAGGGGAAATAACTGAAAACTCCCCAAAAAGAAAAATGCCTTACAGAGCATACGCAAAAGCACCAACCATTGTGAGGGAAGGGAAGCCTGGCTATGGAGTCCCTTTCCATGCAGGAAGGTAGAGTTCTCTTTCTTTTGGGAAGGGGAGGGATTGCAGAAAGGAAAGAGGGAAGGAAGCAGAAGCTGGGCTCTAAGGAGGGAGGGTGTGGAGGCTTGGCGAGGCAAGCCCCAGCAGCAGCTGGAGCCACCGCAGTGGCTCCATGAGGCCCAAGTTGCTACCAGGCAACTCTTCCCCCAAGACCGGAGGATTGCAAGGCAAGCCTGGCTGCAGGAGCAGCTGCATACACCCCTCTCTACCCCAACCCCATCCCCCCATTGGGTGAGAAGATGCCCCACAGCCATGGCAGAAAGGAGGGGCAGCGCTGGGTGAGTGAGACCTGCCTCAAAAAGTGCCTCCTGCCTGCCCCGCGCCTGGCCCAGCAAGGCTGAGGGCTACAGCAAGGCTCCCTTTCTGCTGGTGCCCAGGCCAGAGGTAGAGAAGGGAAGGAAGGAAAGAGGGAGAGAAGAAAGGATTGAAAGAGGGCGGGAAAGAAAGAAGGAAAGAGAGAAGGAAGGATGGAAGCAAAGAGCAAAAGAAGGAAGGAAAGAAAGAGGTAGAGAAGGAAGAAAAGAGCAAAAAAGGAAAAGAAAAGGGGGAGGGAGGGAGGGAGGAAAGAGAAAAGGAAAGAAAAAAGGAAGGAACTAAGGAAAGAGGGAAGGAAGGAAGGACGGAAGGAAGGAAGGAAGGAGAGAGAGAGAGAAAAAGGGAGGGAAGGTTGGCTACACCAACGCGTGGCGGGTACAGCTAGTTCCAAATAACAAGTAATTAGGAGGTACATATAAATGTCTCGTGTCCGAAACGATGACATTACCATCCATTACGTTGTTTCAAACATGCCACTGTGCGCACATTCTGCCTTCAGCCACAGGTCTGTTACCTGTCCAATGTGCATACCTTTTCTCTACTAAAGCCGATGATTGGTTCACCTCGCTATTTGCAATAAAGTTTCTGATTTCAGAGAAATACGCATCTTCTTTCTCGTCTAAAAGTGCATGGTGGTCTGATTCTGAGGTCGGAGAGGAGGCGTTGTTCCCCAAGTGGTTCGTGATGACTCCGGTGTGCTGGCTCACTGCGGGGACACAAAAGGCAAAGAAAGAACCGTTAACAGAGTCAATAGTCCTCCACATTTGCTGGGATGAGGGACACAGGACCCCTATGGAAGTGAAAAACTGCCATAAAGAAATGGATAACACCTCTCTGTGGTCAGATGACCATCGCATTGCACTGGAGGACCTAGAGGTTCCTCAAGAACTTCAGTGGATACCCCTTTTCCTCATGAAACTAACTCTTCCAGGAATGAATTCCCTTCCGAGGGGTAGCTTTCTCCCACTTCCTGTTGTCTCACCTCTGTCTCTTAACTACGAGTCATTTGTAAGTCAGATGTTTGTAACTCGAGGACTGCCTACACTCCAATCTGTTAAGGTCAACACTGGCGTCAGACCTAATGTTGGAGCCATTGGCTGGAGCTACACTGCCATATAATCCAGATTATTTGGCAGTGTAGTTCCAGCTGTTGACCTTTTGGTGAAAAAAAAACATGTTTACATTATCAGAGACAATGGAGCCCCCAGTGGCGCAGTGGGTTAAACCCCTGTGCCGCAAGGACTGAAGACCGACAGGTCTCAGGTTCGAATCCGGTGAGAGGCGGATGAGCTCCCTCTATCAACTCCAGCTCCACAAGAGACCTTCTAATATTCCAAAAATTGTGGCAGACTGGAGAAGTCTGGCCACCCACCACTCTCCTCCTTGGGAAGGAGAGAGATGGTGTATCTTTGAGATACACCATCTCTCCTGAGATACGCCAGACTCCTCCAGTCTGCCACAATTTTTGGAATATTAGAAGGTCTCTTGTGTAGCAATATTTCTTGCTGATGTTGTTCCAAAGTTGTAAAAGAATGATAGATGTTTTTCCAGCCTGAAACACCCTAGCTTCATATCAGTTCCTAGCAGATGTTGRCTCTCCTTAATTGGTGTTYGTAAACGTAAGGAGCCTGGTGTTGACTTCATTTTTAACATAAGGAACCTTGTAAACATTTGTATGCGTATTCCTCAACTTAAAGAGTCATTGAGACTGATAAACATGACTGATAATGTAAACATGTTGTTTTTCACCAACAGTTAATAATTATGATATCGGTTAATAATTTGTCTCTGGTCATCAGCAACTTTTAATTACAGTCCATGAATTCTTCACCCCTTTCTTACAGTTTTCCAGGCTTCATTCCTTAGGAATAGACACCAACCATATATATACAAACAAGTCCATTCAAACCATACATCATATTTCATGACAGCATGGGGGGGGGGGAATCAATGAGTACAATGGAAAGCAGTCTGGTCGCTTGCTCTTTTTCTCACGGGAAGAGAAAGGAGTGTGATTTTGGAGTCATGATACGTTTGTAGGGAGTCAGTTCCTGCTGTAAAGGAAATAAGGGATCTGATCCTTGGCATTGTTCACAGGGAAAGAGGATGCATTTTGGAAGTTTTGGAAGTTGGCAGGCTGCAGGGAAAGTAGGTTCTAACCTAAACAGGTGCTTCTCCAAGGAGAGAGAAAAAATATTGTAATATCTGGATATATGAGGATGAATCAGTTCCTAGCAGATGTTGACTCTCCTTAATTGGTGTTCGTAAATGTAAGGAGCCTGGTGTTGACTTCATTTTGAACATAAGGAACCTTGTAAACATTTGTATGCGTAATGTGAATCCTTATCTAACCTTATCTAACCCACTTGTTAGAGAAAGGAGTGTGATTTTGGAGTCATGATACGTTTGTAGGGAGTCAGTTTCTGCTGTAAAGGAAAACAGGGATCTGATCCTTGGCATTGTTCTTAGGGAAAGAGGATGCATTTTGGGGTTTTTGGAAGTTGGCAGGCTGCAGGGAAAGCAGGGTCTAACCTAAGCTAGTGCCTCTCCAAGGAGGGAGAAAGAATATTGTAATACCTGGATATTAGGCTTGGGTAACAACGGAAAAATTTGTTTCTAAACTCGTTTCGTTTTTAGGGGCTCCATTGCATTTCGTTTTTTTTAAAGAATTCCGAATTTTTTCTTTAAAAAATTTCGAAATTTATGAAATTTCGTAAATTTCGAATCAATTCGTTAATGGTGGACGCGATTGCGCAATATGCTAAAAAACCCTCCAAATGGGACAGGGGGAACTTCTGAAGCTTCCCTCTCCCTCTGTTGTTGACTGTTGTTGTGATAAAACAAACAACAACTATAAAACTTGTGCCAGGCATGCGAAAATAATTACGAAACAATTATGAAACAATTTTGAAACAATTTTGAACCAATTATGAAACAATTACAAAACAATACGAAATAAATTGGAAAAATTGTTTCGATTTTTAATTACTCCTCACAGTAGTCCTGCATGGCTCAATATCGGATCGTAAGCTAATTTAAATACGAATTAATAACGAATTACGAAATTAACGAACGAAACCGGCCAAGCCTACTGGATATATGAGGATGAATCAGTTCCTAGCAGATGTTGACTCTCCTTAATTGGTGTTCGTCAACGTAAGGAGCCTGGTGTTGACTTCATTTTGAACGTAAGGAACCTTGTAAACATTTGTATGCGTAATGTGAATCCCGAGTAAAAATGTAATTCCCCTTTGTTTGTTAGCAATGTAACTGGCATTGACTGGCTGGTCAGTCCCCAACAAGCAATCTTCTCAGCCAATGGCTCTCTTTCATTACCTGGAACACTCTCGTGTTCGTGTTTTTTCAAATGTCGGTCAAGATTGGTCTGCTGGCCAAAGCACCGGTTGCACAGATGGCATTTGAATGGCTTCTCCTTGTTGTGAATGTTTCGAACGTGGCGCTGGAGGTTGGACGAAATGCTGAAGGACCTGTCACAATATTTACACCTGAAAAGTTCAAAGAGGGAACAAGTGGGTTAGATAAGGTCCTATCCTCTTGACATGCTGTCCTGATTTGGCAGGGACAGTCCCAACTAACCCGCTGCTGTCCAACTTTCCCAGCTGCTTCACAACATTCCAATTTCTCTCTCCTTCTGCCACTTTCCCCCTTTGTACTCAGCTTGGTTTTGCAAGGCTTGAGCAGGGCCTTTGTGGATAGGGTTTGGAGGTTTCTCATTTACAAGGTCACCCTAAGACTTGAACACAGCTGACTGCAACGAAGTCTCGTAATGGAATAGAGATAAAAATAAGGAAGTGCAGTCATAACACTATTATCCATGGACTGCTGGTGAGATGCCTGAAGAGGGCAGCATTGGCATATTCAAGAACAAGGATTTCAATTATCTGTTGGAAGTTAAGTAGAGTTTGCCTCTAGTCTCATCTAAGTTTCTTTGACCCTTGTTGCAAAGTCTAGAATTCCATAAGATGCAAATTATAGTATTCTATAGGATGCAAACTACAGGATTCCATAGGATGCAAGTTATAGTATTCTATAGGATGCAAATTATAGTATTCTATACGATGCAAACTCTAGAATTCCATAGGATGCAAATTATAGTATGCTATAGAATGCAAACTCTAGAATTCCATAGGATGCAAATTATAGTATTCTATAGGATGCAAACTCTAGAATTCCATAGGATGCAAATTATAGTATTCTATAGGATGCAAACTCTAGAATTCCATAGGATGCAAATTATAGTATTGTATAGGATGCAAACTCTAGAATTCCGTAGGATGCAAATTATACTATTCTATAGGATGCAAACTCTAGAATTCCATAGGATGCAAATTATAGTATGCTATAGGATGCAAACTACAGGATTGCATGGGATGCACATTATATATCCTATAGGATGCAAACTGCAGGATTCCATAGGATGCAAATTATAGTCTTATATTGGATGCAAACCACAGGATTCCATGAGATGCAAATGACAATATTCTATAGGATGCAAATTATAGTATTCTATAGGATGCAAACTACAGAATTTCATAGGATGCAAATTATAGTATTCTATAGGATGCAAACTACAGGGTTGCATAGTATGCAAATTATAGTCTTCTATAGGATGCAAACTACAGGATTCCATAGGATGCAAATTATAGTATTCTATAGGATGCCAACTCTAGAATTCCATAGGATGCAAATTTTAGTATTTTATAGGATGTAAACTACAGGATTCCACAAGATGCAAATTATAGTATTCTATAGGATTCAAATTCTAGAATTCCATAGTATGCAAATTATAGTATTCTATAGGATGCAAACTACAGGATTCCACAGGATGCAAATTATAGTATTGTATAGGTTGCAAATTATAGTTTTCTATAGGATGCAAACTACAGGATCCTATAGGATGCAAACTACAGGATTCCATGGGATGCAAACTATAGGATTGTATAGGATGTAGCCATGGTCCTTGGTTATTCCTGATGCAGATCGAAATTCCATCAGAGCTGCCTGACTTTGAAACGGAGTACATCCATGATGGCCTGGCAGTTGTTTGGTGTGGCTTGTTGGTGCCTGGGGCAATCTTTTGTTGAGAGGTGATTACTGCCAGGCCATCAAATGCTAATCAAGGTGGTCAGTTGAAACATTCACACCTAGCTCCAACAGACAAGAGTTCTTTGTCCCACCCTGGTCATTCCACAGATATATAAATCCAATTTTCCTAGTTCCAGCAGACCTCACTACCTCTGAGGATGCTTGCCTTAGATGCAGGTGAAACGTCAGGAGAGAATGCTTCTAGAACATGGCCATATAGCCCGAAAAAACCTACAACAACCGACTTTTAGTTAGTTTTTAATAGATCACACATACCTAGTAGAAATGTTTGTAGCCATGCTGTCGATAAGTGATAACACGAATGTATGTCTGGTCAAACTGGAAACCCAGTAGAACTGGGACAGATAGTATTCTCCCCCCCCCCCCATTGCTTTCTCAAGCCATGTTGCCGCTCACCTGTATGGTTGTTCTCCTGTGTGTGTTCGGAGATGTCGGGTCAGGTTTGCCGAACGCGGGAAGATCTTACCGCAGTACCTGGAAGGAAGGGGACGACACCATCAAGTCCATGTCACAGAATGGAAGCTGCCTGTCTACTTCTAATCACTGTCACAATTTTATTTATTTAGTTATTTAAATTGCCATCCTGCTGTTCTATGGATATCTGTATCAGACAATCAGTGGAGACATAGGACTACCGGTTTGCTACACAACATCCGGGGCAGGACATTTATGGGGAACTCATAAAACACACAGAGTTATGAGGTTGAACTTCCCATTTGGGGGGTGCGAGCTCCAGTAATAGAAAAACATTGAGGGGTGCAAAATGTTATGGTGTGCACCTACTCACCAAAGGCGCAGTGGAAGAGCCGGGTTTTAAGGTTCTTTTTTAATGTTTCTAGTGAAGGGGATTTCCTTATTATTATTATTATTATTATTATTATTATTATTATTATTTGAAACACCACAAGATGAGTCCACAGCAGACACTCTGCTGGCTGTTATATTGGATCATCATCATCATCATCATCATCATCATCATCGTGCTGGTACGGCTGTACCAGGAGCTCCAACTTCATTTTCTTTCTATTAAATGTCTGCATGCATTCCAAGGTTTCAGGCATTTTGCAAAAGTGACTTCCCTTGGTTTGCATTTATAGGGCCAATGACCCATCAATCATTGTTAAGTTTTGGTTCCGCCCCTTTCCCCAGGGCCCTGGGAGGAGAGGGAGCCATTTTTAGTTCAGTTTTACAGAAGGAAATTATGCTACAGGACGTGGACCAGCTCCACCTGCAGAAAAGCTTCATTCCCGACAGCTTCGGGGGAAACAGCTTCCGGGGAGAAATAGTCCCAAAGCTCTGGCTGGGAACTTACAGCCTCTCAGTCTTACAGCATTCGAGGGAAACGGTTTTGCAGACCCAAAGAACTCCAGCTGGAGAATCTACAAAGCCTTGACTGGTAGGTCTACTCGGGACCCAAGAAGTAGTTTGGAACTGATCTGGCCACAGTGGTCCACGCTCTTGTTACATCCCGTATAGACTACTGCAATGCACTCTACGTGGGGTTGCCCTTGAAGACTGTTCGGAAACTTCAACTGGTCCACCGAGCAGCAGCCAGATTGCTTACCGGAGCGACATACAGGGAGCACACCACCCCCTGCTGTGTCAGCTCCACTGGCTGCCAATTCAATTCCGAGCACAATTCAAGGTGCTGGTTTTGACCTACAAAACCCTTTACAGTTCCAGTCCAGTGTATCTGTCCGAACGTATCTCCCTCTACGTCCCACCCCGGAATTTGAGATCATCTGGGGTGGCCCTGCTCTCGACCCCACCACTATCACAAGTGAGGTTGGTGGGGACGAGGAGCAGGGCCTTCTCAGTGGTGGCCCCTCACCTGTGGAACTCACTCCGGGGGGAAATCAGGGCATCAACATCCCTCCTCGCCTTCAGGAGGAAGGTAAAGACGTGGTTGTGGGACCAGGCCTTTGGGCAACCTGACAATTAGATATGGAAACCAGATGGATAGGACTGAAAGGACTGACAATTGTGGAATTGGAATTTAAACTATGAGATTGTGAAACGCTGACCGCTAATAAGGTTTGTATTGGTTTTACTGCTTTTATTGGTTTTATGGTTGTTTTTGCCTATAATAATTATTGTTTTCTGTTCATTGTTGTGATTGCTAGAATTGCTGTTTTGTTAACTGATGTTATTTGTCTTATTGCTGTTATGTGATGCGGGCATCGAAATGCGCCTTGCTTTTGTAAGCCGCCCTGAGCCCCCCCCCCCCCGGGGTGAGAAGGGCGGGGTAGAAGCAACTTGTGGATAAAATTAAGAAAGCCACCAGTCATTTGTATGATTGTCGTTGAAGATTGAAGAAGTATTTAGTAGGTTCTTGTGGGTTTTTTCGGGCTATATGGCCATGTTCTAGAGGCATTTCTCCTGACGTTTCGCCTGCATCTATGGCAAGCATCCTCAGAAGTAGTGAGGTCTGTTGGAACTAGGAAAAAGGGGTTTATATATCTGTGGAATGACCAGGGTGGGACAAAGGACTCTTTCTGCTGGAGCTAGGTGTGAATGTTTCAACTGACCACCTTCATTAGCATTTGAAGGCCTGGCTGAGCCTGGGGAAATCTTTTGTTGAGAGGTGTTAAGATGTGCCTGGTAGGCTTGGGTAACCACGGAAAAATTTGGTTCTAAACTCATTTTGTTTTTAGGGGGCCCTTGTGTTTCGTTTTTTTTTAAAATTCCGAAATTTTCCTTTTAAAATTTTTGAAATATACGCAATTTCGTAAAATTACGAATCGATTCATTAATGGCGAACGCGATTGCGCAATATGCTAAAAAAACCTCCAAATGGGACAGGAGGAACTTCTGAAGCTTCCCTCTCCCTCTGTTGTTAATATTGGTGTGATAAAACAAACAACTATATTATATTATATTATTATAATATTATTATATTATATTGTTGTATATTATATTATATATTATTATATTATATTATTATAATATTATTATATTATATTACTTTATATTATAATATATTATATTATATATAATATTATAATATAATATATTATAATATAATATAATATATTATAATTATTATATTATATTATTATATTATAATAATTTATTATTTATATATTATATTATATTATATTGTATTTATATTATATTATATTATATTATTATATTATATTATTATATTATATTATATTATATTATATACTAGCTGTACCTGGCAACGCATTCTTGTGGCATAGAGTGAGGGTATGAAAAATAAAGTAATGAGAAATTTTGGGCAAGAAGGATGCCAAAATAATAATTGCGAATTAATTATGAAATAATTACAAAAATTGGAAAAATTGTTTCGATTCTTAATTACTCCTCACACTATTCCTGCATGGCTCAATATTGGATCGTAAGCTAATTTAAATACGAATTAATAACGAATAACGAAATTAACGAACTGGATCGCCCAAGCTTATTTTGTTGTTTCCTCTCTGTTGTTTTGCTGTAGTAATTTTTGAGTTTTTTAATACTGGTAGCCAGATTTTTTTGTTCATTTTCATGGTCTCCTCCTTTCTGTTGAAATTGTCCACGTGCTTGTGGATTGCAATGGCTTCTCTGTGTAGTCTGACATGGTGGTTGTTGGATTTTCCCAGGCTCAGCCAGGCCTTCAAATGCTAATGAAGGTGGTCAGTTGAAACATTCACACCTAGCTCCAGCAGAGAAGAGCTCTTTGCCCCACCCCAGCCATTCCACAGATATATAAACCCATTGTCCTAATTCCACCAGACCTCACTACCTCTGAGGATGCTTGCCATAGATGCAGGCGAAACGTCAGGAGAAATGCCTCTAGAACATGGCCCTATAGCCTGAAAAAACCCACAAGAACCTAGTGATTCCAGCCATGAAAGCCTTCGACAATACGAAGAAGTGTTTGTTTAATTTGTTCAATAATAAAGGACTTTGTTAAACCTCTAAAGACTCTTCCAGAGGAAAATCCTTAGGGCCTCTCTATCAAGGCACCCTGGCTTCCCGCTGGGCACAAAGTGCACGTCCTGCTCAAAAGACAATTATTACAGGCCCAGCGCGTGACATTATCATCTCTTTTAGGGGGGTGTTAATTGGAGCACGAGTAAGTGAAACCACAGAGATTATGTTTGTGGAAAGCGGGGTTGTATTGAACATGTTCCCTTAACAACATACTCCATGGCAATCATTTTAGTCGCCCTCCTCTGGACACATTGACAAGCTGGAATGTGTCCAGAGGAGGGCGACTAAAGTGATCAAGGGCCTGGAGAACAAGCCCCATGAGGAGCGGCTTAAGGAGCTGGGCCTGAAGAAGAGAAGGCTGAGAGGAGATATGATAGCCATTAGGCTTGGGTAACCACGGAAAAATTTGGTTCTAATTTGGTTCTAAACTCGTTTTGTTTTTAGGGGGCCCTTGCGTTTCGTTTTTTTTAAATAATTCCGAAATTTTCCTTTTAAAAATTTCGAAAAATACGAAATTTTGTAAAATTACGAATCGATTCGTTAATGGCGGACGCGATTGCGCAATATGCTAAAAAAACCTCCAAATGGGACAGGAGGAACTTCTGAAGCTTCCCTCTCCCTCTGTTGTTGACTGTTGGTGTGATAAAACACACAACAACTATAAAACTTGCACCAGACATGCGAAAATAATTACGAAATAATTACGAAATAATTTTGAAATAATTACGAAATAATTACGAAATAAATTGAAAAAATTGTTTCGAATCTAATTTACTCCTCACACTATTCCTGCATGGCTCAATATTGGATTGTAAGCTAATTTAAATACGAATTAATAACGAATTACGAAATTCACGAACGAAACCGCCCAAGCCTAATAGCCATGTATAAATATGTGAGAGGAAGCCACAGGGAGGAGGAGGGAGCAAGCTTGTTTCCTGTTTCCTTGGAGACTAGGACGTGGAACAATGGCTTCAAACTACAAGAGAAGAGATTCCATCTGAACACGAGGAAGAACTTCCTGACTGCAAGAGCCGTTCAGCAGTGGAACTCTCTGCCCCGGAGTGTGGTGGAGACTCCTTTTTTGGAAGCTTTTAAATAGAGGCTGGATGGCCATCTGTCAGGGGTGATTTGAATGCAACATTCCTGCTTCTTGGCAGAATGGGGTTGGACTGGATGGCCCATGAGGTCTCTTCCAACTCTTTGATTCTATGATTCTATGTTGTATTTTCTTAAGGCTCACACTCCAGTGACCATCTGAGCTCCTTGTTGTTTTGTTCTCAGCATTGACTCACTATGGCTGCCCTCAATGTTTACCTGCAGGTATAGCGTTCCTTTCCTTTGCGCAAAATGGGGTCAGACAGCGTTGGGGGTGGCGACCGGAAATTGAAGGGGTGATGCGGGAGGGGTTGCAAGGAGGCGCTGGGGTCTGCCTTCATGGCTGCAAAGCTCTCCAGTTTCTCCGTCATGGTTTCTATTGCTGACATCTGCAAGGAAAGATCTTGTTAAGCAGTGGTCATTGATTCAGATATTTAGAATGACTGGAAAGTTGTAATCTGTAGTCTTACCAAGCACACTCTGCTTCATTTCCAGAGGACACCAGCGTACCTGTCCTAACAAACATTTTGATTGTGACACCTATTTTGGAACCAACCCATTTATGCTGAGCTTGTTTTCTGCTGCTCAAAAGACCAGAGCACAAACCAACAGATCAAATTTCCAAGAAAAGAGAGTCCACCTAAACATTAGGAAGAATGTCTTGAAAGTAGGAGATGTTCAACACTGGAGGGAGGTGGACTCTCCATCTTTGGATGATCATTTCTTGTGTGCTTTCACTATTGATTCGTTTACGGCAGAGTTGGGCGAAACAGGCATTGCATTACCATCTGATTTCATGATTGTATGATGATGATGATGATGATGATGATAATCTCTGGCCCATCCTCTGTTCAGATATCAGCCAGAATGTCTTAAAGCAGTGTTTCTCAACCTGGGGGTCGGGACCCCTGGGGGGGTCGCGAAGGTGTGTCATGGGGGTCGCCAAAGACCATCAGAAAACATAGTATTTTCTGTTGGTCATGGGGGTTCTGTGTGGGAACTTTGGCCCAATTCTATCATTGGTGGGGTTCAGAACGCTCCTTGATTGTAGGTGAACTATAAATCCCAGCAAGTACAACTCCCAAATGTCAAAGTCTACTTTCCCCAAACCCCATCATTTTTCACATTTGGGCATATTGAGTATTCCTCTCAAGTTTGGTCCAGATCCATCATTGTTTGAGCCCACAGTGCTCTCTGCATGTAGGCGAACTACAACTCCCAAAACTCAAGGTCAATGCCCACCAAACCCAGTATTTTCTCTTGGTTATGGGAGTTCTGTGTGCCAGGTTTGATTCAATTCCATTGTTGGTGGGGTTCAGAATGCTCTTTGATTGTAGGTGAACTATAAATCCCAGCAAGTACAACTCCCAAATGTCAAAGTCTACTTTCCCCAAACCCCATCATTTTTCACATTTGGGCATATTGAGTATTCCTCTCAAGTTTGGTCCAGATCCATCATTGTTTGAGCCCACAGTGCTCTCTGCATGTAGGCGAACTACAACTCCCAAAACTCAAGGTCAATGCCCACCAAACCCAGTATTTTCTCTTGGTTATGGGAGTTCTGTGTGCCAGGTTTGATTCAATTCCATTGTTGGTGGGGTTCAGAATGCTCTTTGATTGTAGGTGAACTATAAATCCCAGCAAGTACAACTCCCAAATGTCAAAATCTATTTTCCCCAACATCAGTTTTCACATTTGGGCATATTGAGTATTCCTCTCAAGTTTGGTCCAGATCCATCATTGTTTGAGCCCACAGTGCTCTCTGCATGTAGGCGAACTACAACTCCCAAAACTCAAGGTCAATGCCCACCAAACCCAGTATTTTCTCTTGGTTATGGGAGTTCTGTGTGCCAGGTTTGATTCAATTCCATTGTTGGTGGGGTTCAGAATGCTCTTTGATTGTAGGTGAACTATAAATCCCAGCAACTACAACTCCCAAATGACAAAATCAATCCCCGCCCAACCACACCAGTATTTGGGCATACCGGGTATTTGTGCCAAATTTGCTCCAGTGGATGAAAATACATCCTGCAGATCATTATTTACATGGCGATTCATAATGTTAGGGTTATGGTTGGGGGTCACCACAACATGAGGAACTGTATTAAGGGGTCGTGGCATTAGGAAGGTTGAGAACCACTGTCTTAAAGCAAGAAATAGCTTCCTAAGATCTTCAGAGATACTTGCAGGAACATCTCAGAAAGCAAGAGTCCAAAAGTGGCAGCTTAAAACCCGGAACTTCAGTCGGTGGCTGATACGAGATACGAAACTCTCTCCGGGCACACAGAAGACTGGGGAGCTTGGAAGATGCTGAACAGACCATGAGATACAGAGTTAATCTTGAGAAATGGGGCCCATTTCTCAAGAAATGGCGTCCACGACATGCGAGTGTGGAGAAGAGCAAACCACAGACCATATATTACAATGCAACTTGAGCCCTGCCACATGCACAATGGAGGACTTTCTCACAGCAACACCAGAGGCACTCCACGTGTTTGGCTTCAGGTCAAAGGAAATTTACTATAATGCCAAGTGTTTAACTTTGTTTGTGGTTTTTCTATATATTATAACTGTATTTTTTGTGTGTACAGAAGCCTCGTGCAGTTACAATTTGAGTCCCTTCCTGTGCATTGGTAATTGAAGGTGCAATTGGATGGGAAGCTGCACCAAATATGTGCAGGAATGTGCACCAAGCATGCACAGGAATGCAGCAATAACAAAGTCAATAAGTTACCAAGCAAGTGATTTTGGTTTCTAAACGAACCCCGAAGGCAAAACAATTACTTTCCGATTTTGTGAGGGTGAAAGAGAAAATTCAAGTTTGGTTCCATCTGGACCAAAATGGGAGGCGAAAATGACAGAGGACAGGGAGAGAAGCTCTGTGCCAAATTCGCAGCAATGGTTCGATCGTGAGTATTTATTTATTTATTTATTTGCTTCACTTTTATACCGCATATTTCAGCCTTTAGCAGGCGACTCAATGCGGTTCACAGTGCAGTTAAAACACAATAGTACAAAAAACCGGAACGACAAAGTCGCTCCACCAACAATTAACATCAGACACACAACCCACAAACAACATATACAACGCCTCCGTTAAAGTCAGATCCATTCTCATAGTCATTGTGCCGTTCCTATATTCAGTTACCGTCTTCCTTAGTTAGTTGCATTACTTAGCCAAACGCTTGCTCATAGAGCCAGGTCTTGACCATTCTCCGAAACGCCAGCAACGAAGGTGCCTGTCTGATGTCTGCTGGCAAAGCATTCCATAGCCGAGGGGCCACCGCTGAGAAGGCCCTGTCTCTCGTCCCCGCCAAGCGCACCTGTGACGCAGGCGGGATCGAGAGCAGGGCCTCCCCAGACGATCTTAATGTTCTAGTCGGTTCGTAGGTGGAAATGCGTCGAATAGTATTGATAGTAGAATAGTATTAATAATAGTATTAATAGTAGAATAGTATTGGAAGACCTAGCAAATCCCATCTCTAATGGGACTGGAATTCTATAGTACACTGGGACTAGTCAGTTAATTTAATAGCATTTGATCAGATTTATGATTTCAGGTGTAATAAAATCCATGCCAACTGATATTTTGGGTTTTCCTTGGACCTCAAGAAAGCGTGGGATGGCCCAGCACCGTTTTTGACCTTGGTGAACTGAAATGCATGAGCGCATGGCTCCTGCAGACCCTTGTAGCCACGAGTAATGGGTTTGTGCAACAACTTTAGTTTCAGCTCCTGTTTTTTTTTGCTGCAGGAGAACAACAATATCAAGTGGGCCTCAAGGTGGGACTACATCTTGGAATCCATGCCTCACACCAACATTCAGTGGTTCAGGTAAGACAGAGTTTCTCGACCTGGGGGTCAGGACCCCTGGGGGGGGGGGTTTGTGAGGGGGTGTCAGAGGAGTTGCCAAAGACCATCAGGAAACACAGTATTTTCTGTATTGTCGAAGGCTTTCATGGCCAGAATCACTGGGTTGTTGTAGGTTTTTTTGGGCTATATGGCCGTGTTCTAGAGGCATTCCCTCCTGACGTTTCGCCTGCATCTATGCCAAGCATCTTCAGAGGTAGTGAGGTCTGTTGGAACTAGGAAAAAGGGGTTTATATATTTGTGGAATGACCAGGGTGGGACAAAGGTGGTCAGTTGAAACATTCACACCTAGCTCCAGCAGACAAGAGTCCTTTGTACCACCTTGGTGATTCCACAGATATATAAACCACTTTTTCCTAGTTCCAACAGACCTCACTAGTAGCATATTATCTGAGAACACAGAAATGCTGGACCACTCTCACAACCACCATGTCAGACTACACAGAGAAGCCATTGAAATCCACAAGCATGTGGACAACGTCAACAGAAAGGAGGAAACCATGAAGATGAACAAAATCTGGCTACGAGTATTAAAAAACTCTAAAATTAAAACAGCAAAACAGCAGAGGGGAAACAATCAGGGACATCTAATCACCTCTCAA